ACCAGTTATTGTTGTGTGTACCCCCCGCCCATTTGCTGCCCCTGTTTCTTCGGGACATCCTTCAGGCAGCATTTTTTAGGTGTTGCATAACTGCCGTGTGTGTGGCCAGGCCTTGAAAAACTGACCAGAGTTGATTAGCAAATTGGATATGGCATTTGGCTTTATTATTTACCTACTGAAACATTGTAAAATCACCTTTCATCCTTGTCAATGCCAGCATAATGTCCAAAAGTATGATTAAAATCATGCAAGTAGAATTAAAGATGAAAAGTGCCTTCCCTAGCCTGGTGTCCTGCAGATGTATTGGGCTATAGCTCCCATAATTTAAACACATAATTTATGTGCTGTAAACCAGCCAGAGAGCTCTAACTACTGGAAAATGTAGATGTTAAATAAATAAAATAATAAATAAAACAATTTCCTGCCAGCATGACCTAGGAATTATAGGCATTTTCATCCAACAATCTGGAGGGTGCCAAATTAGGGAAGGATGCATGGAAATGAGTCATAAGCACAGAATGCAGACAATACATCAGAACTGAGAAAGTGTATATTTACCCTCTTCCAGTGGGTGACTGGATTTGCACAGTGTAGCAGTCCATTGTGGGTAACTAGCCACAGTGAGTTGTCATCTGAACACAGATTGCTTCTCACAGGGTGGCTTGTTTTGGAGCAACATGACACCCTGATGATCCATGGCATCTTCTAGAGGCTGTTGATCCCATGATGGGTTGGTGTATCATCTGAACCCAGGAGACCAGTCCCATTACAGGTTGCAGGAAGTAGTGAGCGACCCACACTCCACAAGCAGCAAAAACCACTTGCTGTTCTTGAAGGCCTCTGCAAGAACAGCTGTTCCATCCATGCCCAAGCAGCACTGGGAAGCAACTGTCACTGGTTTGTTGCTCTTGTAAAAATACGTTTTGGGCTGCAGAAATGTGTACAATTAAGTTTGTAATTTTAAAAAAATGTTTTTGGCCTTTCACAGATGTGCACTTATGACTACTCAAAATGTAGAGTCTTGCCTGGCCAATTTCCTGGTAAACGTCTGCTGTAGGTAACATTGGACATTGACAATAGTGAGGTTAATTGGAATACACTTGACAGATGTCAGTTGAAAAGCAAAGTGGCAAAGTGGTATTTGCCCTGCAGAGGGATAACAAGTATATCTTCCCCTAACCAATGTGATTCTCTGCTTTTTAAGTATTACTCTGATAGGTCTCTGTACTCTCTACCCTTTCCATACTTCCCTGAATGTGCAAGTATTCCAGAAAGGGAGAATTTACATTCAGTGCCCTTTTTGGACACCCTTACTTTTGAGAGTTGTCAAAAGAAAGGGTTCTTTCTTCAGAATCCCATCCAGCAAATTTGAGCCAGATTTGTCTGTCAGGCTGCAAGTTCTGCGAACAGCCTGCAGTGTGCAGCTGATTCCCATGTTGGGTTGTCATGTCACTTGCTCAGCACTTCCTTTCTAAACCACTATTCTAGGGATGCTCTAACTTGAGTCTTGCATTGAGCAGCAGGTTGGACCTGATGGCCTTATAGCCCTTCTAGCTCTACTCTTACAGGATTCTGTGGTTTGGGGGCTTTGATACTGTTCAGATGTAATGGTGGCACTCAGTGGCAATTCATAGTTTAATGAACTTACGAACTGCCTCTGAACACAACTGTAACATTTGAACAGGGCCTGTTTCTTCCTGCTGCTGAAGCCACAGACTGGAACACACCTTTTAGCGAGGCTGGGATGGATTTTATTCTGGTGCCCTGGGACTTCAGTTTGTGCCTTATGATTCGGTGAGGGAAATTTTTGCATCTTATTCATGTAGTTATTATTTAAAGAAGTGTTATTTTCAAATTGTTTATTGTTATGGAAAAGCAAGATACAAATAAATTGAATTTCTGGTGGAGGAAATCTTTACTGGCTTCTGCTGCCCTCTGCAAAAGAAGGAACTGCAGTAATGATGACCTGGAAATACAGTTCCTATGTACAAGAAGACAGGCAGTAAACTGTCTTTGCAGAGGCCCTGCTCATCTGCTAGAATTCAATTAGGATGTGCTTCTGTCTTGTTTTGGACTGGGTGATGCCTATAGTTTTTGTGCTGCTTGTTTACTTAGCAAGTGATCTACTTTACAGCCGTCTGATTCCCCCCTCCCCTCTTTTGCACTGAGTTTGACCTGCTTTCCTTCAAATATGCCCTAATTTCCTATACAGCCAGGAGCTTAAAATGTTGTTGCTAGAGTTCTTTCTTTTTCAAGTGAAAGGGCACCTGCAAATCTAGGGTACTTTGGGAGAAGGGGAGAGTTGTATGCCTTAGCAAGTTGTTTTTTGTATACTGTGAGTACATGGGAGACTGAAGTTGAAGGGCTGTGGGGCATGTGTAGGTGGGGGAAGGGGGAAGTATATTGGCCGGATTTAATGGAGAGAGCACTGTATTAGAATATGTGCAAGTGAGATTCATTTCACTATGATGGGTGGGGGGAGGGGAGGAATGGAGAGGCTGCAGCTGCTTGTAAAGTGATACAGAAGAGCTGGCAGTATTGTCATGGAGGGAACCACCAGCATATGCTTCCTTGGCTTTTCTAAAAAGCAGAAAAGTCCTGCTGAACGCCCGGTTTTTAAAGGCATGCACATATAGATAACACATGCAAGGCAAGTCAGCACTAGTGGAGTGTGTGTGTTTTTGTTTATTTCTGTGTGTCCAGCACCCATTTAAAAGAAATGTGCAGGGGAGGTGTGTCTCCCAGTAATAAATAATTTTGTCATAGCAGCTCTCAACACATGTGGCTTAAGCTTACTGAGAGCACCTATTTATATAAAGCCTGAGAAAATTAATGATTGATGTTTACTCCAGATGAAATGTTTGTAAACTGTTTGCCTAGATCTGGCAGAAGGTGAGACAGAATCTTAATTTGCATCAAGGTCTGGTGTAAGAGGAATACTGTTTTGTTCACAGCAGTCATGCATTGGCTCTAGCTTGTGGGTATTAAAACTGAAGGAGAGCCTTGCTGAAGCAAACCAGAGACATGCCTAGCCCCTGATCTGCTCCTAGAGTGGTCAGCCAGATGGCCACAGGAAGCTCATAAGCAGAACCTGAGCTCTACAGTAGTCCATTCTATTTGTATTCCCCAGCGACTGGTATTCCAAGGCAGTAGAATTAATATGTAGCCATTGATAGCCTTGTCCTCTGTGAATTTGACTAAGATAAAATTTGGTTCAATAGGAGAATTTTGATAACAAAGGATTTGATAAGAAATAAATGCATACATTGCTTTGGCCCCAAAGATGGGTTGCTTTGTGTTCTTACCATGCTTGAAAGTCCATGTTGCTCTCACCTCATACCTAAGGATATGTGCAGAGTTATTTATATAAACACACTTGACGTAGGGCACCACTGCTGCAGGGCATCCTGTTGGGTTAGGGTGCAAAGAATGCATGCATGCAAAGAAAGTAGGCTTCAGTCACGAAGAGCATGTCTGAAGCCGTTTTAAGTTGCAGCCCATTAGCTGCACTCCAAGACTGCACATCTAGCTGGTTCGGATGGTTCCCAGGCAAGCTGAAGCTCTTTCCCCAGAGCTTCTCAAGTCTGGGAATGCTGATCCCTACCTGGACACATGGTGTTCCCTCTTGGTGCTATTTAAAAAACAAAAACAAAAAACCAATAACAACACCACAAGTGGGCTAGTCTTTTATTTATTGGCTCTCCCTTTGCTTGCATAGGAACCCTAAGCTGTAATGTAGGTTTGTGTCACTCTGCTGTTTCCCTTTTTTTGGATGCAAGTCCTACTGATTTATGATTAAGCTTACTTTCAGGTAAGTGTGCTTAGGATTGCTTCTATCCTTGCACCTTTGAGAAAGACTAGACCGATGGTTTTCCAGACGTGGAGGTATTACTTATTACATCCTGTGTGATAGAGTAATATGTTGAGGGTGTACAGATGCATAACCTACAGGCTTCATAACCCACTGCACTGGGGGACACAACTGTAGACTTAAGATTTGCACGTTGACAAAACAGTGACACCTTTTTTTCCTGTTTGAATTATGAAATGTCAGCCCTTGGGTACTTGGTTCAATTTTTGTTAGGAATATATGCGTGACAACTTCTGTGCCCTGTTGCTTTCAGTAGAAACCTTGGTGAAGCCAGATTTCTCAGCCTTGGAGGCTTTAGCAATATCTGCAGTCTTACGCAGTTTCCGGGGCATGAGTCCTGCTGAGGTTGATGGGGCCTACTTCTGAGTAGACATGTGCAGTATTGTGTAGTTAGTGCATTTCAACAGTGATGCTATTGATAGAATTTTTGTATTAACAAATGCTGGCATATGGCAACTAGAGTACAAATAGCTCTCTGGGCACCGCATGATGACACTCCTTCCTATGGGGCATCTCTCACAGTATTAGCTAAACCACATTTTAAACTTGATAGTGGCTTTAGGGTTTAATATGTCACCCAAGTATGCTTTCTGCTGTCATTGCACCTTTAAGCCCATCTTGCTTTCACTTGCTCTACATGTTGGAGAAGTGCAGAAGCACAAGAGGAAGAGAGTGCTTTGGTAGTACTTTTCCATGCCTTTCCTTTTTTGTTTATTTTGGTAATATCTGATTCATTCAGACAAACCCTGTGGCAAGGCATCAATCTCAGTAGAAAGTTGACTGATAGAAGTCCATATTTAAGCCGCTGCTGGCATTGGTTGTTACTGTTGAACAAAACGTCTGTGTGTGCTCTTAGCAGCCGGTGCTCCGTATAACAGCATTTGCTCTACTTGTGGGGCGGGCTACAGCACTATGTAAGACAAGAGAATACTCCAAGTTCTTGACCCCTGTTTTTAGACCCAGATTTTTTGGATCTCTCTCTTGGAAGCTAGTTGTAAAGGAGCCAATAAAGAAACAACTTCAAAAACAAAACCTGGAAGTGACAAGTATCTTGGCTGGGACTTTGTGCTATTGGTTCTTTCTATTTTGGTTTGTCTCTAACCTATGCCTCTTTAAAATTTTCTTGCAGGATGGACTGTTGAATTGGAAAGCACCGCAGACCTGGTCATACAGCCCGGCTGGTCCACTCTCTGCTTTATTTATCTATTACTAGTTATTTAAATTGAACTTTTAATAACCTGCCAGCTGCTCTTCAGACACACATGGTGCATTGTTGCCATTCCCAGAATCATATCTTTGAAATCCAGGCCCTTGGTAACCTTCATCGAACAAAGAGGCGACCTAGAGGATACATCTGCAGCCGGACTTTTCAAACCTGCTGCCCCCTAGCTTCCCCATTGCCCGTGCTGTTTTTCTAGCACATCATGGAGCCCACAATGGAGTATTGCTTGGCACAGGTTCTGCAGAAAGATGTTGGGAAGAGGCTTCAGGTTGGCCAAGAACTGATAGATTATTTCTCAGATAAACAGAAATCTGCTGATCTTGAACATGATCAGACCATGCTGGATAAAATGGTTGATGGTCTTGCTACCTCATGGGTAAATTCCAGCAATTATAAGGTAAGACTGATTTGCAGGAATGAGGTTGCTAAGGTCAAACATCTCTTCACCTCTGTCTCATTACCACAGGCTTTTTCATCAGATTTGGAACAGAGTCTTTAAGCTATTAGCTTGAAAACCCTATTCAGTCTGCATTCTTAGGACTCTTGACTGATAACATAGTGACAAGTTTTGTGGCACTTCACCTTAGTAAAGGATGTTTACACATATAAACATAAAAATAAGGATTGGACCAGTATTCCTTCTGGTTCAGTGCTTGTATTGATGTTCCAGCCTGGATGGATAACATTTGTATTAGCATGAAGTACAAGGCCAGGTACTAGCAGCCTTGGATATTAAGAAAAAAGGATGACAAAAATTTAAATTAGTCGACTCTGATTTCTTGAGCTTCCTTTAAAAATTTCTTGTTACAATATTTGTATAACATTACATTGCATTCTGCATATTATATTGCATATTATATTGCTTTGCATATTGGCAGAACTTCATGAGATAAGAAACACAGAGCTGCTGCCCAGAATTTCAGCTTTATGTTTCTTGCCCACCATAACATGAACTAAAATTTCCCAGGTATCCTTCCTGGTGTCATTATGGTGCAAGTCTTCCCATTGCTATGTCACACCATTGGTGGTGCTGTTTGGCGATAGCTTGGCATGCTGACCCTGGGACGCAGGGCAGGTTGTGCTGCTCGTTATAGAAACTATGGCTCCTTTTAATGGTAGACCAACATTTCTTGTTATATATCATCCTACCTTATAACTGTTCTTCAGCAGGAAGAGTATTTGGAAGGTGAATAAGAGAAGTGATGATTGCAACCAGCCAACCACTATCTGGTGTCAAGTTACCATCATTCTTGATGTGCAATAGAAACAACAATTTTGCCACACATCTGCCCCTGGGTTTTGGCAAAAGTCCCAATTGCATGGATGATACAAATGATCCAACTAGACAGGGTTGTGGTGAAGTTTTTGTGTTGAGTCTGTATATGTTTTGATGCATTCGTTGCAAATATTCTAGAAATCCCTATAATAAGCTCCAGGAATGCACTTATGCCTTGAAAGAGGAAGCTGGATGAATGGTTCTATCTCAGGTCTTTATCCATGGTATGATTGTCATGTGGAGGCCATTTTAATTCCTTGAAATAACTGTTTGTGTGCACCAGCTTGTCCCTGTGTCTCTTTTACTTGGTG